TTCAGTCCTTCCCCTTCCTTGATTCTTCTCCACTCTTGTTTAAGCTTATTCTTTCAGTTTCAACCTGACACGGTAATCCCCCTTGAAAGTCTGCTATTTTTTGGAACATTACTATTCTTTGGATCATTAGTGAAGGCTAGACAATAATACAGCAGTGCCCTCTTCTGGATCATCCACCTTATTGCACGAGGATTTGGACATTTGCCATGAAGCTGCTGTAAAGATGCCTAATTATAACTGGCTGCCATAGAGCTGATGAGGTCTGTACTTCTCAACCCCTACAATCAAAACCCTTTATGTAACACTCACTTAATCTCTCAAACAAGCCGGAGTATGAGAGTTGTCTCTCTCCCACGGGTTACTTTTGAAAATTAGCCTCGGTAATAGCAGCAGGTGACACACCGCTGGCTGCCAACATAGACTATTACACCTCACCGACTCATACGTGCTTTTTGACTGTATATTAAATATGAAACTTACTTTTTAACAGTGACCGGGAAGGGCTTGGGTTGGTAGTTTGTCCTTGAACTTCAACAGCGGTCGTTGAAATAATGATATCAGTCACTTAACAAGGTTAACAAGCGCAATAGTACAATATAGAGAGTAAAGTGCAAATGAGGCACTAATGAGGGTTGTTCTGGAATTTCTGAGAAAATATATATAAATATTTACCACGTAGTGTGACATTTACAAAAAGGCAAACAAGTAACAATGTATTAATTATACTATAATTACTCCTCCCCCCCACTCCTGCCAGCAGCACTAATACAGAGAATTAGCCTAAAATGTCAGTGCTTTGAGTGGAATATCTGCATATATTTCCTCCCAAAAATGCGAACCCTCTTAAGTATCTTCTAGAGTTTCGCCATATTTCTCCCTGTGTTCTATTTCATGTGTTGTGTTCTATTATCTTCCATTAAATAGTTTTTTTTCCAGCAAAAAAAGCGATTTAAAGAAATTGTAAACAAAAAAAAATCTTGTGAAATGATGCTTAAATTTAAGCATCCACCTTTTGACATTTTCCATTAAAGACAAGGCATAAGAAGCAGCCAATCATATAAAGCCTTATATAGGATTGATGAAGCTCATATGCCTTTATATCATACTTCATATTAAGCCAACAATGACTTTTCATCTCATAGTTTCATCTTTTTATCTGATAATTATTACTTTTATGTCACAATTATATCTTTTAAGCATAATTCCCCCCCCCCCTTTTTTTCACATGTGGAAAAAATGGTCTTCCATAAAAAGCATTATGCTGAATATGCTAATTATGACCTAGAATGTCATATATGTGACTTCTTATCTTGTCATTTCAACTTACACTGTATGTCATAATTATAACATTTAATGTCATAACTATGACGTGTTATCTCATAATTATGACTTTTATGTAAATATTATGATTTGCCAAAGCATTTTTTCTTTTTCTCATGTGGCAGAAATGGTCTTCCATAAAAAGTATGTTTGATGCTAAATATGATAATTATAGCCTAACCTAGCATCTCATAAGTGTGGCTTTTATCTTGTAATTTTGACTTGTGTAATTATGACATAATTTAGACTTTTTATCTCATGATTAAGACTTGTCTAATAATTCTGCCTATTTTAATTCCATAATAATATCTCACTTTCAATTTGATGTCAGAATTATAATTTTTATATCATAATTATGATTTACCAATACATGCTATTTCATATGTGGCGAAATTTACATTTATAGGCCTGTGTATATCATTTTAATTATATAATATTGTTTCTTTATTTTTTATTGTTGGATGCTGCCACTTTATAGCAGTTGGAAAGAGAATTTTGTTAGAATGGCAGCTGTTATTCCTCAGAGCAAACACATTTCTCGTCTGACTTGAGCCCAGCGCCATCAGCAGGACAGTTGTTTCAATAGTTGTCATTTAGCTCCAAACAAAGTTCTAATTTGAAGCTAAAGCTCTAAAGGTGAGTAGCATCTTCCCCACCATCCTCATGTCTTTAGCTGAAAAACATATCATGTTAAACGAACATTTAGACAACAATGAGTACTGGCTTGAGAATATTTCCCTTCCCTGCAAACATCTGTGACAGAAATGGCAACAGTACTCAAGAGGAACAAGCGACCTTTCAGAAAATACACTGTAATGTTCACTCTCACAAATCCTTTAGATGATGTTTTGCTAGTTTGTAAGGTGGAAAGATGCACCTTTAACTTCAACAAGATATTTTTAACTGTAGTGCAGCTTCTTCCAGATCCATTGGGGGGACAAAACCTAGAAACTATTTTGTTATTATAGGCCTAGTACCAAGAGAGTGTTCCACACACCCTTTTTTTTTTTTTTTTTTTTTTGGATAGCAAGAGCATTGTGGCTAATCTGTGTCTTTAATAACCTCTGTACTATATGCAAGAGATAAAGAGAGATGAATAAACTCCACAAATTTGTGAAGAACCTGCATAATGCAGCATAATTTGTAAATGAGAGAATGTGAACACCTGCACAAGAAGATCACATGGTTAATGCCACACATTTACTTAGAAAGAAAGAACAGATTTTGAAATAATTCCTATTCAAAAATCTAATGTCTGGTTTTAAATTGGTTTGATTCATGACTCATTCAGTGAGATTGTCAGTGTCTGACAAGTGGGCAAATGTACTATTTTTCATTGTAATTCTGAACTTTTCTCAGTCTGCAGTTATGCCAGATGACAGACGGTCACTCACCACAGGACAACAGAAGGAACCAGAGATTGGACGTTTAACAGCTGTGAACTTTAATTTGAGTGTGCATCCTTTTTTCACATGTATTTGTATGTCATATCTGTATAAAAATTAAATGCACTGTAAAAAAAACTTCTAAGATATCAAACAAATAATTGCTTTGTCACTGGTTGTGTATGTTATATCATTGGACAGCTCAAGGCATGATTGCATCAGTTTTAATACCTAAATATGCTTATCGTTTAAACATCATTTTAAACATTGGCACATTTTTGTTTCTTTTCTTTGTTTTTAAGTGCCCCACTTTTTGCAGCACTGCAGACTTTTCAAGGCACTTTTGGTCCCTTTGGACAAAGTGTGTTATATTCTTGATCACAGAGATTAGAGGTCTGATTGATTCTGTCTACCTTCACCAATAAAGTGGCTGTATTTTCCCAGGGCTACATTGAGACAAAAAACTAAATTGAAAAACTGAGATGGGGAGAGAAAATACCAAGACTCTAACTCAGTCGAGCCATCAGGAGTTTTTATGGTGCCTGAACAGATGATTGATTACAGGTTTGAAGGTTTGTGGGAAACAGTCATTCTCAGAGAGCACACATGAAAACACTGACTAGTCTTTCCTATTGTAATTAAAAAACACATGTGTCCCAACGAACTTCAGAAGACTCTCGCCTTTCTTCTCCCTCCAGCATTTTTCTTTAACCAAGAAGAAACCATTGTCCAAAGTGTCTTCCCCAAAAAATCTCAAACTGTAGAGAAAAGGCAAAACGATTGTTTGTTTGTTTATTTAAACATTTTTCTTCTTTTCTCACAGATTACACACAATACAATTTTACTGTACATCTTTTGGTATAAGAAAAAATATACCCTGACAGTAATAGTATCACTTAATAGTATTAATTCGTTAATACAGTAAAAAAGACCTGATTATAATTTGAAATTAATTGAAATTAATAAATTTATTTATTGCCTCCAATGGGACAATATTAACCTATAACCTAT